GATGTGCTGTCAGCCAGGGGCCGGGCTCCACCGATCTGACAGTCTGTCCGCTGAGACCAGCAGAGACAAGTACTGACAGTGAGATAGCAGACGGCTTTTCACCCAATTACATGCTGTCTGCCGCTCCACATCCTCCTGATTTCTCTCTATTTCCTCAATTACATCAGAACTGAAGCCGACCAGTAAGTAGAGGTCACAGGTCAATTAAGATTTATGTTAACATGTTTACGTGCTCTGTTGTTGGTCTGTTCTGATTCTGAAACAGAAAATTCTGCTGTCATTAATTTACCAAAGCCAGCTTAGATCCAGATTTGGTGATGGTGGTGGTGGTCTGTTACACATCAGTGATTATTAACTGTGAGTGTATCTGTATTCCACTCACCTGTGTAATTCATATTATGTATTTTTATGATTGTTGCAGGGTCTGTTAGGTGCACATGAGGTTTGTGCATCATTTGCATTTTACCTTTTTAAATCATCATGAAATAGTTGGACGTTTTTGTGCATACGTGTGTGTTTATTTCTAAATCTGTGTATGTTCTGGTGCCGCAGTGGATAAACAAGGACCTGACTTGTATGTGTGCTAGTATGGCTGTTCTTTGAGCTGTGGGGGGTGGGGGACATAGGTGCCCTTGAGGCATGACTTATGTGGTATTGGGTTTTTGTCCTTGCCTCCCGGTGCCGACTTTGCTACAAGAATCCATCCATCTGCATCTGCTGCAGGAAGGGAAATGGTTAGAATTGAACGAGGGTGAACCATCAATGAATGTGTATCCAAGAGATAGTTCTTTACATGGGTTTAAACCCTGGTTCAAGATCTGGGTGATATTCTTATGAACGAAAATGTTGGCCTCTAGATTCATCTGGTGGTGTTTGACATTTTGCCGATGATGTATTGATCTGACTCTGTGACCTTAAAAGACATTATAGAAAAAGTATTTCTGGCACAGTAGAAGCTGAATGTGCTGCAGATTGTAAGTACTCTAAAGGAGGTCTAATATTTTTATTTTCTGGAAAGGAGAAGTGGTCGTGGTATGAATTAAACACTGTAAGTAGAAAGGAATCTACGAAATCTGTTTTTAAAAGAATATTTCTATTATTGAGTTGTGTGGAGTGTTTATGAGCAGTCAGTATCATACCTGTAATAGAAAGCAATCATTGCAACCCCACTTTGGAGGATCCCGGAGAATACTCTTTTGAGCAAAGTAAATGAAGAATATAAATTCTATTTCAGCTGATCTTGCTGTGATAATGACTTTTCCTCCGTAGTAAAGTAGCATCGTTCGCGTTTATTTTGTTGTTGCGTATTGTCATGTGGACACTGACCTACTCAGACTCGTGCTTCTATGACGTGTCTTAGTGCTTTGCGTCTTTTTCCTCCTACAGCAGCTCAGAACGAGCCCTAATCCAGACGTTACTATGCGGTTTCACTCTGTGAACGTGATGCAGGAGAGGGTTGAGGTTACTGTAGTTCAGTCAGACTTCTGCATTCACTTCCTTTAGTTTGTGATCAGTCTCAAGCTTTAGCTTGAGTGGCAAATTGTTTTATATTTCTGGGTTATTCCTGATTTTAGAGTTGGACAATATTATATTTTATTATTGTTGAACATCTTTACAGCCTTCCTGAAAGCAAAAATAGTTATCATTTGCTTAGAAAGGCTTGTGCTGTTGTTTTACTACTGCATGTAAATTAGGATCTTTAAATGAAATATACAAAAGGCAATTATTATTTAATAAATTATACAATAATTTCCATATGAAATTAAAAAGATAAAGTGACATTAAAGAATCAACATGCCACTTTGAAAATATATTTTTGTCTGCCTAAAGACATATTTGTTCCTTTAGGTCAATGCATTCATCATGCCGGGATTATTTGTTTTTATGTTAAAAAGCACTACACTTTTTACAGAATCGATTCTGAACAGTAGGTGTCAGGAAAATGATTAGAGGAATGGCAGCAGAAGAAGAGTTTACAGGAAGTACCCTTTTCATCCAAAATCATCACATTTGTATTTTATTTGTGCACAATGAGGAGTCAGTTCTAGACTTTACTACCATCTCCCTGGCACACATTATTGCCAATAATAATTAGCTCCAGTACAACTTTTTTTCTGATGAATAACATTTAAAACTGAGGATTTTTTTATCTCTTGTGTTTAAAATATGTATGAATTTTACTGTGAAATAAGCACAAAACTGTCAAATGTCTCAGTCATGTTAGAAGGAAGGTTACATTGAAACTCATTTCCTTTTCAGCCATCTGGGGGTTGTCAGTTTTTCTCCTTTCATTGAAGCTAAAGAGCAATATGCTAGCCTGTAGGATTGCCGAGTCCACCCCAAGTTATCGCTGCAGCACCGGCATTTTTAATTCGACATCGACCGTCAAAATGAAGCAGTGATTTGTAAGATCCTAAGCCAGTAAACAGGAATAACCCAGAACCCTTAGGGCCGTAATATACATGATGTTTAGCGAAGTTTAGTGTTTAACTTTCGTTGATTTGAAGCATTGTTTGTTCGCGTCCCCTGAAATTAACACGGTGCGTCCGAATGTTGCATTATACGAGTAACCAGTAGGTGGAGTTGACAAAATGAGTGAGACACACTCACCATGGTGACTCTGTCTCTGGTTTAGAGGTCTTTCATACAAATTACGACACCACTGCTGTCTTTTATTCTGTTGTGATCTTAAAATTAACCAGTTACTGAGCTCTTCTATTGACCCCGTGTTTGTTTTGGTTGTACCCACAAACCCAGCACTTTATCTGGTCTGAGTTCTCTACTGTGCCCCTAGTGGAACACTCCAGTACTGCATGCAGTGCAGTCTACGTCAATGCAAGGTTAACCCTCTCAGGCTCAAAATAAGTTTTGATAAAAGGATGAACAACTAAGTCCTTCAGGGGTACTTCTGAGTTAAACAATGCACATGAAATATGTATGTGCAGTCACCAGGTAGGTAGGCTTTAACGTTGCTAATCTGCAACGCCTGCCTCCAGAGGGTTAAAAAGCAAGACGCCATGGCATCTTTTTGTTTTACTCTAATATCGGGTAAAGAAGGCTAGAGGCTAACATTGAGCTAACAAAGCTAACGGTGAAAAAAAATAGTCTTCTAAAAAAATGTCAGGTTACTTTTTCAATTTCTAAAACCTTGAAATTACAGTAGAATGTATTTATACTTATCAAGCTACTGGGTATGGCTCGTCTTTACTCGCCAACTAGAATCTTCTGGTGCTGATCTGTAACTGAAACTCACGTAACCAAATTTGACCAGAGGATGTTATTTTTACTTCATTCTTACGCACTGCACCTTTAACAAAGTCCTCTGTTGTTTCTAATTAATATGATTTATTGTTTATCCTACAGTTATTCATTGTTTTTAGCTTTTAAATAACTCCAATTAGGCTCTTTTGACTAAAATGGACCCAAGTTGTAAAAGTCCCGGGTGCCACATCCATTGCTGTTTTTAGAATGAATAATCGTTTTTGTAACATTCATTCATACTTTTGGATTTATCCAGTAAAACATTAGTAGGAAATTAATAGAACGTTCTTATATAATACAAAGGACTAAATGAATGGCTTAAAGCTCTTCCCACAGTCAGGCGTTATCTATTAAAGGCTGATTTCATTATCCTCTCAGACTCCCCTAGAACTGGCTCAAAAAACATTTTACTGTCTGCTGCTGTTATTCTCTCTGAATATCAACAGTCCTGAAGAATTCCTCATTTTTATTTCTCTTTATTTTTACTCTCTTTCGCCATAATATTCAGCCTGTTCTTTATTAGGTGATCCTTTGTTTCATCTTCAAATCCTGTTTTTGTTGTTGTCGCTGGGGGGCTGCTGCATAAAGACTGAGGTGCATTTTATAAAAATCTTTTGATAATTTTATTATATTCAGCATTTTCCAGTAAGTCTGTTCAAAGTTTTACAGCTGAGCATGTGTTTGTGCTATTTGTTTCTTGATGAAATGTTGTTACATTTGACTGAAAAAACCCAGGAAAGCAAAATTGGTGAGAAAGATTTATTTTCCTTCTGTTTTTTAAACTTTTATTCTTTAAGATCAGGTAATGTTTTGCAGATATTATCACATTTGTTTTAACATTTATATCCTTTCATATAAAGACAATATAGTTTATTATTATCTAAAGTATTAGTCATAACTGTTCAGGCAGAAGAGGGGGATCACATTTCACTGCAAAAAACACAAATGTCAAACTCATGATGTCTCCAGAATAAGCCAGGCGATCATCACTTACGTAGCTTAGGGAAACAATTCCTGCAGAAAATGATCTAAGCTGCTTGGTTTTATATTTTTTCTGATACTTGTTTTATAGCTTGTCTGTGCAGACAATTGCAGGTATTAGACAAGTTTGAATGTGAAAATCTTTGTCCCCACAGTCCCCAGGCAGAGATCCGTGTCCTACCTACGTGGTGTAAACAGTCTGTTCCTCTGCAAGGTCACAACCAGCTGCTATGTTCTTTGGGGGAATTCGTTACTGTAATGCTGCCTCACACTATGGCTGTTATGTCTCTCCTTGCAGCTACATAACAGCCCGTTGCAATGTGAAGCAGCATGCTCTGCATACCTGTGTGCATGAGGCAGCAGTGCAGCATTTTGCAGACATTAAAGGGTCAGCAGGTTAGATTAGAAGCAACAAATATGTTATTTGTTAAGATGAACAGCATCCTTGTTTGAATTTCCTCCGTGACTCCTTCTGACACCACCTGTTTTAATGTCTTGTTTTCCTTTTAAATCTTAAGTAGTCTTTCTTTTTTGCTCAATGTTTTGTAAATGGCTGTAAAGTCTTCATTTTGAAATGACTACAATGATGCTAAAATAAAGGAACAGGTTTTGATGGATAACATGGAAAGGTTGTCAGTAAGAGTTAATGTCTACAATTTCTAAAATTACATTTTAATGCCGATTACGGCCGATGGTATCAGACATCCCTAGTTAAAATCATTCTTTGATAATATAAAGTTTTTTATTTCTATTTCTAGATGACTCGGGGGATGAGGAGCCAACATCACAGTCAGACCGCAGCGAGCTCCAGGGCACCCTGAAGATTCTCATCAGCAAGCTTGATGACCTCAGCACATGCAACGACCTGATCGCCAAGCATGGTGCCGCCCTGCAGCGCTCCCTCAGTGAACTCGAAGGTCTTAAGGTCCCTCTGGAGGGAGGAGAGAAGATCAAGGCAGTCAATGAGCGGGCCACACTTTTCCGCATCACTTCCAATGCTATGATCAATGTGAGTACTGAGGGTGAAGCAGGCTACGGTAGGCTGCAGCAGCATGGGAGCAGTGATGTGTGTCCTGCAAGCCTTCTTCTGTCAGGCATACCGGTGGTGCATAACGACCTGGTTAATGAGTGATGATGGTGAGATGAGATGGTCTCACACAGGCTCATTTACACCAGATCACGTTTAACCCACTGAGACATTACCAGCTCTGTTAGCTCTTATTGATTCACCTTGTTGCCTGTAAGTGTTTTTGTTTTTATTTCCTGGCGTTTCCACTCCTGCGGCAGTGCTTTCCCGTGTTCCTCAGCGGTGAATACCACAGACTTTCTATGGGTATGTCAGCACTGGATGGGAGTTCAGGGAGCGCTGAGGCCCTGAAGGAGAGATACTAGATATGATATTGGGTGTGGGTGACAGGAATAGCCCCTGCTGCCAACTCTTCTCAAGGCATGGCACCCCCCCCCCCCCCCCCCCCCCCCCTCCTGTCCAAGCTTGTGGGGGAAAGCCAGAACTAACTGGACCACAGTTTGACAGACCTGCTCTGACTAAAATCAAGCAATTATACAGGGATCATTGTTTTTCTGCATTTTGATCCGAGGTAAACGATACTGAGTTGTGGCTGAAATGCATGTTTTTCCGATATTCTTTATATGCAGTTTATAAACTCAGAGCGATTTTAAATTGACATAGAGTTTTCACCATTATCTCATCCTTGTGGAATGTACATTTCATTTATTTGCATTTGCATGCATTTTAGAAGCTTTTAAATAACCTCCTCACTTAGCATCTTTTTCCAGTTTGTGTTTTTACTTAAATCGATTATTTTCTGGCAAACACCCCTCCCCCTGCGTGCTTCCTGACAGCCTGTGGGCAGAGGGTTAAATCGACAGATTGATCCGTGTTTTAACGGATAAGTTTGCACGGATTGGTTGCTTTGCTCCCAAGGATGTCCTGATTAGTGGAGCAGAAAATAACTTGCTGAGTGAACTTGATTCAGGGGAGTCTTATCCTCTCCAACACGGGCTACTAGCAGAGCTGTGATCAAGAGTTAGGCTTATCATTCAGTCGTTCTGAATGGGATTATTGAATATCAGTTTTAATCTGTTAGATGGGCTACTTTTACTATTCATAGTTCTCCTACATATCTTAGTTTTTAACTTTTGTTTTGGAAAAAAAGAGTAAACAGCAAATTTCATCTTATTTTTATATAAATGGTAACAAGCTGGTCTAAATTTAGCACATTTATTTAACGATTGCATTGAAATGAACCCTATATGCTGCATACTCATAAGATATTTTGAATTACAGTAGATTAACTGTAACAGGTTAGCAAAATGCTATTAGCTCTTCTTGCATTACTTTACTGTTCAGTTACTTCAGATTAAGAGTACTTTCAGATGTTTTATTATAACAGGAGTATATTTACATTATGTGGAAAAAAACATTTGATTTGTTAAAAACATCACATTTCAAATGCAATCTTTATGAAGAAAAAGATCTTGTTGGGTTGTGTAACAGATCAAATGCTGTTCGGAGTGGTTTACCACAGGCATCCTGTGATTTGACCCCAGCCTGAGGAAAGGTTTCACTTGAGTTCATTCACCGTTGACCTAACCTCTCAAATGTGCATGAACTCTGATAACCTTCTCCAGCTAGAGCTTTCAACAGCCCACTCTTTTTTTTTCTTCATTACAATTTAATTCATCTGTTTGTTTCATGCTGATTCAGCATTTTGAGACTAAATATCTAAAAACAAGCTAGGACATTTAAAATGATTATAAATACTATTTAATTTGCAGTTTATCACTTTCTTCCAGAAGTTTTAATCTGACTGATTTTTAACCTTAAAGGGACCCTTAGCAACTTTTTCATATTTTTAAACCATTTTTGAGCCAGTATGCGTTAAAACTACCCTTTACATGGTAAATGAAAGGCCACCTAGCCCCAGTTGCCCAGAATATTCCACTTGCAACTTCAGAGTTGCCGGTCCAGTCTGTTGGACTAGCTGACACACCTGGTGCTGCAGTCTGCTTCCAGCACGTTACCTGCGTGTTTTAGATCGTAAACACGGCTGATTTGTTTAATTTAGTGATGAACTGCTCCTGTAGACACTAACAAAGGCAGGGGAGACATTTCTGCTGTTAGATTAAGGTGTTACAAAGATGAACGCACAGCTTCGCTTTCGGTTCTACTAACGGACACTAGGGGATGCTAAAGGCAAGCCAAAACTGCCTTGTCTCCCTTTAATTCCAGCTCTCACTCAGTGGTGCCCCCAGAAAAGTTTCATAGAGGTGGCCATTGGACCAGAGAAAATTTTGGGGTGGCACACCAAATTAATCCTCGTGGTAAATCTGGGAAAGTTTAGCCAGTAGAGATGCAATAAATGCTATTTATTCATTTTCATAAAAATTTTTTTACAACATTAATATGAGTTATTAACTCATTCATGGCCATTGACGACTAAAGCTATCATTTGCACTTTTTTTTCTGTGTGGGCATTGGAATGAGCCCCCCGCACCGCAAGAACAAACATCTCAGCTCTAAAGCCGATCTTCATCCGCATACGTCACACGACACGTGATCAGGAAGCAGAAAATCCATGTGTTAGGAGATCGTTTTGGGCTGCTGCTGTAAAAAAAAGTGAGGCGCGAACCGGAAAACCTTCTGCCGATCACAATTTAACAACAGATTATGAAAGAACAGATAACGCTCGAAACACGCTGATTCTTCCTGACGTGAGAGGTGAGTCTTCGCTTTGTTTTGGTTGTTTTGTTGTCGACATCATCCTACCGCTCAACGTTCTGTGACTCTTAAAAAACAGTAAAAACGGTGAGAAACGCTGACAGCGAAGGGCTTTACCGATCAGGAAACGGCTGGCAGCGAATGAGTTGAAGAACACTGGTCTTCCCTGGACAGCAATTTTCTAGGGGTAGCCATGGCTACCGCTGGCCACCCCTTGGGGGCACCACTGCTCTTACTCACAAATCCATTTTCACTTTATTTTTTATTCTTCATATAGTCACATGCAGTCTGCTCTTTTACTGAAGAGTCAGCATTAAAAAAGTGGAACTGTGATGCTTTTTAAGTTTGGTTTTTAGTTTCGTGTCACGGTTGAGTTGGAGGGGGGGAACCACACCATCACATGCACTGGTTATATTTAAAAAGAAGCTCAGACTGGATCTTTAAGCAGTTTGATGCAAGACTGATGAAGGTAAGAGACAGGCTGACAGTTTTCTGCCTGGGAAGCAGTAAAAAATGTATCTCATCTGTCTTGTTAAGTTGTAGTTGTAAAATATTCAGTCTTTTCATTCATGTTTCAGGGTTTATAAGATTTATGATATAAAATATTCCAGAGGCATTTTATTACAAGGATGCTCCGTCGTTTTAAGATTAAATGATTTCTTATTGGCAATAAAATATTCATCACTCCGCTAAATCTTTATATAATGAGGATTTAAAATGTACTATAATTATTTTTCCATGTTCCAGCCTTCCTGACACGATTTAAGACCATCTTTGTTAGATGATGAAATTCAGAAAATGTGAGAGAGAAAGTCTGCATTCATTTTTAGGGTTTTGAGGAATCTAAAATGCTGCTAAAGGCCTTCGCACAAGCACAAAGTAGCAGATGTAGACTGGACTGGACAATAGCACTGTCCTGTCAGCATTACTGAAGTAGAGCTTCCTTTTCTGACATTGAAAACTTCCACAAGGAAGATCTAATACCTGCTGATCACTGATGATGATGATGATGATGATGATGAAAATAATATAATATAGTATTTGTATAGCACTCCATATTTCAGCAGTCTCAAAGTACTAAAAAAAGCAGGATCAATAAAAATGACCAGGATCCATAAATAATTACAATAAGTAAAAGGTGAGCCTCTGGGAACCATTTTTCTATAAAGTTCCATTTGAAGCTGGTCAGGTAGAAAATCTGGCTATTCTGATCACCAGTTGACTTTTTTGGAGCATCTCTAACTTTTTGGCCCCCAAATATAGTTAATAAATGGGAAATGATCAAGTATATTCATTATAATAAACATTTTTTAATTTTTTGCTAAAAGTGTGAGCAAAAAGTACTTAAAGGGACTCTAGGCAGTTTTAACTTGCTTTTAGCACCACCTAGTGTCTGTTTAGTAGAACCAAAAGTGAAACTTATCTCCCTGCTGTATTTTTAACACCTAATCTAACTGCTGAAATTTTCCCCCAGCCTTCATAAGTGTCTACAGGGGCAGTTCATCACTATATCGGCTCATTTTTTTCCAAGTACAAAAGATGGGGCTCGCCACTCTGAATTTACATCTGCAGTATTCTGACCACAGGGGGCGGTAGGGGTCTGGGTGACTTTTTAATATGAAAAAGTTGCAAAGTATCCGTTTCAAATGCTGATTTAAAAAATTATTATTCTTGTCATCATTTGTTTAACTGTGTAATTTATGAAAGATAACCTCATGATTAAATTTTTAAACTTTTTCTTACTTTGATTTGAAATAATTAGAATGTTGAACCAGTTTCAGCTCCAGAATTATTCATCAGATACACACGTCATTATTTAAAGTTCATGCAGTGAGAACTTTTACACATATGAAACAATTTTATATTATTACATCCTGGGTTGTTTCCAGTGTTGGGAGTAACGCCGTTTAAAATAACGCCGTTACTAACGGCGTTCTTTTTTAGGTAACGGAATAATCTAATTAATTACTTTTCCCACTGTTGCAATGCCGTTACCGTTGCTGGGGATGGAAGGTTGTGCGTTACTATGTGCTTGTCGAATGTTGAGCAGCAGCGTGAGGCTTTCTGACCACCACACTTCAGCTGCAGCCAGGGAGAGAGAGGTGTCGGTAACACACTTACAAACACGATGTTGATTGGCCGGGTGGGCGGAGACCCTCAGTGTTCTCACTGTCACCGCATGCTGTAGACACAACAGAGCAGTGATGGGAATAACGCCGTTTAAAATAACCGCTTTAATAAAAAAAATATTTCTTCCAGTAACGAGCAAACTAATTAATTGCCGTCTTCTTTGATCAAAACGTCGTTTCTGTTACTGATGAGGAAATGCGTGTGTTAAGCAGCGCGGTGTGTTGAAGCTGTCATCAGCTGATCAGGAGCTAAAGAGTTAGATGTTTTCATCCAAGCGCATCACGGCCCGTGAAGAACGAGGAAGATGTGATGAATATCTACGGCTGCAGACCCGCAGATTCGCTGCTGCAGGTGGGAATCTGCGGGTCTGCAGCCGTGCCCTTCTTGGCGTGACAGCGGGACGTACCGAAGGTCCGCTCACCTGTTCACCGCTCAGACCAAGGGCGGCGTTAGGCCCGGCTACTTGGGCTCAAGCCCCGAATGTTTTATGAAAAGACTAGTGCGTGTTACGTGTGTGCGCGTGTGTGTTGAGCCCCGGATCTTCTTCAGTTCTAAATCCACCCCTGGCTCGGACGCCATGACCTTCTACCTTCCTATATCATCCAGCTGGAACCTGTTTCTGATCATGTCTTTAGTCCCGCTGTAACACTGATGCATCAGTCTCAGACGTCATGGAGCTCAGGTGTTATTAGAACTACCTGTGTGTGTTTACCACCCAGCTTCAGCTCTTCTGTGTTTGGGTCTGACCCAGGTTAGTAAATGTAAGTCCTCCATCAGGCTTGTGCCTCTTCTGGTGTCATTTTAAAGGATTGTATTTATTTATTTAATCATTACTACATTACTAGCAACAGAAATGCTACTAATAACACACAATTATGTGAAGCTGGAAAAATTAAAATGCTGTGCAAAATTACATTTATTTCTGTAATTTAACTAGACTGAGAGACCATTTAAAGGCTCAGGAACCTTTAAAGGTGTTTCTATTTGCAATTTTAAATTTTAGCTGATTGGGGTCTTGTTAAATATCACACAGTGACCTTTTAATAGTCTAGATAAGTGTAATGTTCCTGTTAGTAGGTCCTCCTGTTAAGTGCTTATTTATTTAAATTATTCAGGTTTATAAAAAACATTTGGACATACATTTTATTATGTTCCAGTCATTAGTCATTTATATTTCACTATTGTAGTAATTCTTACATGCTTTAATGAAAAAAGTAACTAAGTAGTTATTTTTCTTGGTGATTAGTTACTTTTATAATCTTGTAACTCAGTTAGTAATTGAGTTACTTTTTTGACAAAGTAATCAGTAACTATAACTAATTACTTTTTAAAAGAAACTTTCCCAACACTGGTTGTTTCTGCAGTTTTTTACTGCACCTCCTTGCAGAGATAATCTTAAAATTGTTACCTCTGCAGCTCTGGGACCAACGACACCATTAAACCACATGTAACCATGGCTTAGATGGTCAAATTGAGACAAAGTTTTGGTTAAAAGAAATCTGAGAGATTGTTCTTCACATGACGTTTTTACTAGTGTGAAGTGAGCTGAGATGTATTATTTCAGTTCAGTGACCTTTGACCTCAATAAGAGGAAACCTGTGAAGCTCCTGATGCAGAGCCAACCGTTGCTGACGTGTAATAAATCAGTGCTCTGAAGTAACCTCTAAGTCAGCCGTGAAAGTCAGAACAGCGCTGACGCCCCCTCATGGCTCAAACAGTCATGAGTTGGTTATTTTTTTGTCTTCCTGTTTCGACTCAATCAAGAGAAGTCAGACTTTTAGATGGAGCCCATTTGACGCAGCAGGCAGAGCCACTAAATACTTAACAGGCATCCAATTAACATTTTCATGATTCCTCCAAACAGGAACCACGATTACAGTGATTGTCACAATTATCTTTATGTCTGATTGTTGCTAAAGGTTAGAAAAGTACATGATTTAGTTATAAAAGAAACGTTTTACTTATCCAAGGAAAATTTAGTTCAGATCACTTCTTTTCAGGATAAACTGTAAACTTTTGTTTTGGTATCCTATAGAAAAGTAACATCTTGTGTTTCCTCAGGCGTGTCGAGACTTTTTGGACTTAGCTGAGACTCACAGCAGGAGGTGGCAGCGGGCGCTGCAGTATGAGCGAGAGCAGCGTACCCACCTAGAGGAGACCATTGAGCAGCTCGCCAAACAGCATAACAGCCTTGAGCGAGCGTGGAGAGAAGCACCCACGCTCGTCTCCAGTCCACCCAGTGCCCCAACCAACAACCAGGGTGAGACTGAGTAGCGTTTACTTTATTCTCCGGGCCTCAGTCTGGATCTAATTTCATTTAGTCATGTGGAGCCTGAGGCTTGAAATTATAGAAGGTCTTCATGTGGAGAAACTTCATATTGGGTCTGATGGGTTTAAGAGCTGATCATGTGATCGCTCATGAAAATACGGAACTTGGTTTTATTTGAGCTCTCCTTTAGTTTTCCATTCAGATGTGAACTAGTTTGTCTAATTATGGCTCAGCTGATACTATAAGAAGTAGGCCTACATACTAAAACATTGGATCAGGCTAGTTAACCAGCAGAAACATTAGTGATTTTACTAAGCTTGTTACTCCGTGATTAATCACCACGGGGATGTGATTATACACTCCTTCCTCTGTATTTCACTACCCTGAGATGGTCCAGCTGCTTTCACACATTCTCTTTGTGGACTCTGACGTTTCACCTGCAGGGAGTGAACGGGTGCGCAAAGAAGAGGCAAGTGATGAAGATGAAGATACAGAGTACTTTGATGCCATGGAGGATTCCCCTGCCTTTATCACAGTGACTGCCAGTGAAAGCGCACAGCACCGGTCAGTCTACGTCACTGTTTTACTGTCAGCCACTGCATCTGTCAGGTGGATTTTAAAGGCCAGGCTCACTGAGAAAATGTCTTTTACTTGTTATTTTTGAAATATGATTGATCATTCTGAGTTTAACGTGCAGGCTAAATTTGAAAATAGTCAGTCAGTCAGATCTACATCACACTGAAAATTAGCATTCATGAACTTGTGCATCTTGGCTTGTGATGGGGAAGGCTGTTGTTGAGCTGGCGACACAGAGTGAGCAGAGCTTGTCTCGGCTAGTAGAAGCTAACTGTTAGCATTAGCAACTCTACATCATGACAGAACTCCTTCAGGCTCGTGGGATTTGTGGAGATAAAACCTGTGCTGCAAAGCAAACTGATTCAGTGACAGAGTCGCGTTGCTCTTAGCCAATCAGAGAAGAGACGTTCAAATATTAGGAAATAAGACTCCAAATACTGCCGTGCTCTGCTCACCTCTCTTCTGGCTGACTTCTACCTCCCTAAACAGGAGCACCAGAGATTTTTGCCCCTCACAAGGCATTAATTTCTACTAAGCCGTTTTTATAAATCAGTGCAATGAAGTTGCAGCAACGGGAGCCTTGGGTCGTTTATAACTGGTCAGATCGTGACGATAATGTGGTGCAATCATGTCCTTTTTACAAAAGATTAGGCGGTGGTGGCATAAAGGAGGTATGGGGGCGGTGTCAGCACTGCCGCGGACTTCTGTTTAAATTGCTATTTATTGCATTTGAAGCCGCGCTCATTAAGAATTTTTTAACAAGTCGCGCCTAAAGGTGTCTGTCCCCAACAGTCCCCATGCAGTCTCTGGTCATCTGACCTTCAGCTCTAACAGAGAGAAGCTTCTGGAGTGCGGCATCGCTCCAGTTTGCCATTTCAGCTGATTTATTTCTAAAGGCAAACTTATGGTCTGTTTTTATAGTTGCCGGCATTAACTCCCCACGTTGTTATGACACCACCCTCTGTTGCACCAAGGCGAGTCAATTTTCAAGACAGAAAATTACCTCATGATTCAGAAAAGGGTAGAATGCCTTCTCCAGGTCAGGGATGAGGTCTTGCCCCAAGTGGAGGAGTTTAAGTGTCTCGGGGTCTCGTTCACGAGTGAGGGAAAGATGGATCAGGACATTGACAAGCGGATTGGTGCTGCATCTGCAGTGATGCAGGCGTTGTGCCGATCTGTCGTGGTGAAGAGAGAGCTGAGTCAGAAGGTGAAGCTCTCGATTTACCGGTCGATCTACGTTCCTACCCTCACCTATGGTCGGGAGCTTTGGGTAGTGACCGAAAGAACGAGATCACGGATACAAGCGGCCGAAATGAGTTTTCTCCGAAGAGTGGCTGGGCTCTCCCTTAGAGATAGGGTGAGAAGCTCGGTCATTCGGGAGGGGCTCGGAGTAGACCCGCTGCTCCTCCACATCGAGAGGAGCCAGTTGAGGTGGCTCGGGCATCTGGTCAGGATGCCTCCTGCACGCCTCCCTGGTGAGGTTTTCCGGGCACGTCCAACCGGGAGGAGACCTAAACGGAGACCCAGGACACGTTGGAGGGACTATGTCTCTCACCTGGCCAGGAACGCCTTGGGATTCCTCCGGAGGAGCTGGCCCAAGTGGCTGGTGAGAGGGATGTCTGGGCCTCTCGCCTTAGGCTACTGCCCCTGCGACCCGACTCCAGATAAGCGGATGAAAATGGATGGATGGATGGAAAATTACCACAATATTGCTACCAAGCGAGGCGGAATGAATGCAGCAAAATTTGCGCATGGCCATGCCGACATGGTGCATTTATAAGATGCACCATTGCGGTAATATTACACTGGTTTGCCGGCACGATGTGTCTTGTAAAAAGGGCTCTAGGACTACTGCAAATGTGTTGAATAAAACAAGTGAACTTGGTCTTTAATGTCACCTTCTCTGGGGTTTGTGTTCACTGTGCTCCATCCGATTAGGATCTGGTGAGTCGCAGGCAGACTCAGCAGACCGTGCTGTGCCGGGTCTGCAGCAACGCTTAGGTTTTGTTTGTGGAACATTGCACTGTAACAAGAAGAACAACATAACCGACTTAATCTTTCATTGATTCTGTGTATCAATCAATATGAGTTGCACCAATAGCACAGCTTTCAGCAGCAATACCCCTGGCAAGTGTGTGGTTTATTTTTTTTAAAGGGAAACAAGACTGATGGACTCTGTTTATTCAGAGAACATTGCAGATAATATTTCCATTTCATTCTAGGAGATCTCAGAGTAATTTGAGCGGCGCTAGCGGAGGCCAGGCCAGCGACTGGAACCAGGACGACAGCGTAAGTGTATGACTAACGTGACTGACATTTGCAGATGCGGCTGACTCTTGTAATCTGAGTAAAGATTAATTTGTGTCTTTGCAATGCTCTCCCTTCATTGATTTACTTATATAACATTTGCACTTGACTCACACACACACTATTTCTGTGCTTCCTGTTCTCTTGTCATCACCCGTCTGGACCCAAAGATGAACAGTTGCATAATTTCTGTAAATCTCATTTGCCTCTCTCCTGCCTTTTTCACATCAGTCGTTCTTACACTTCTCTTTCTTTTTGTTTCATCTGTGCTGTCAGTGTCACTGAAAAGCCGCCCATAGAGTTAAAAATATTTTCTCAAACTCCCTCTCCAAATCCCAGATGTCTCCGAGCTGTAACGATGTGTCGGGAAAGGAGCTGCAGCCTCGCAGACAAAGACGGACTCACATCCCAGACAAGCCCAATTATTCTCTCAATTTGTGGAGCATCATGAAGAACTGCATCGGCAAGGAGCTCTCTAAAATCCCTATGCCTGTAAGCCCACGAGTCATGTTCTCTTTATTAGCTGGCAGGCTAACATAAATCTGTGAGGATGAGACTTTATGAGTTTCATTTCTTTGTCTTTCTTTCAGGTTAACTTCAATGAGCCGTTGTCGATGCTGCAGCGCCTCACCGAGGACCTGGAGTATCACGAACTTCTAGACAAGGCGGCGCGCTGCGACTCCTCCCTGGAGCAGATGTGCCTGGTCGCTGCCTTCTCCATCTCCTCCTACTCCACCACGGTCCACCGGACTGCCAAGCCCTTCAACCCCCTCCTGGGGGAGACCTATGAGCTTGATCGCCTGGAGGAGTTTGGCTACCGCTCACTATGTGAGCAGGTAATAACAAATCCACTGGGAGATTTTGTTGACTCATTCCACTGACTGCTCGCACACATCTGACTCACAAGCTGACTGTTTTTCAATGGATTCAAACTGTTTTTTAAGCATTATGTCCGTATTTTAACTCAGGTGAGCCATCACCCTCCTGCTGCTGCACATCATGTGATTTCCCAAAGAGGCTGGACCTTGTGGCAGGAAATCACCATTGCCAGCAAGTTCCGTGGCAAATACCTCTCTATTATGCCTCTGGGTAGGACATTTCACACTCAGATGAGGAGTCAAAGCAAACTGAAGTTCTGATTGGAGCGTTAAAGACTTTTTATGCAACTTGTTCAGATTTTCAAATGATATTCTTGAGCCAGTGTGTGCTAAAATGACTCTTTACAGGGTTAATGAAATGTCACTCAGGTCCCCACCGCCTTTGCAACTTCAGAGTGTCTGTCTGGTCTGTTGGAGCTTCCAGCACGTTTCCTGCATGTTTTAGATCATGAACACAGCTGGTTTGTTTGATTTAGTGATGAACTGCTACTATAGAAGCCAATGAAGGCTGAGGAGGCATTTCAGTTGTTAGATTAACCCCCAAATTCCACTACCTCCGCTCCGCTGCGCTCCGCTCCGACACGAACGCCGGAGCAAAATCGATCCCGTTGTAGTCAATCAGAGCAATTCCACTACTGCGGCCGTGCTCCGGCAGTGCGGCGCCGTGCGCCGCCCTCTGTTCCGGCGTCCGGCAAAAATAGAATCGATCCTATTTTCGCCGGACGCCGGAGCACCTCCGCAGTAAATAGACAGAAATCACAACTGTCCAACAGGAAAAGGAGCGGGCACAACTTCTGTTTTTCACAATACATCGATAAACAAAAGGCGTTTTTTGTTTCATATGCACAGGTTTAACAACTTTTAACAACTATCAGTGGCGGCTGAAGTTTAAATGCACAAAAGTAAGCCATAAATACAGTTTCCACTATCAAAGTAGTCACACTTTGTTGATCCAAACACTGCTGATCTGTCAACACAAATGATAGGAAGATTAAACAGTTCATGCCGATGCTTCTCCCACACAACGGGTGTTTGGATCTAACTTCCGCGTTTATTGCTCGGACTGTATCGCAAGATCTCGAAAATCCCGCGCATGCTTATTTGCCCACTTCAGGTCTCCGCACCGGAGCGGAGCCGTTGTAGAGCGGGTAGCAGTAAAAATTGAGTTCGGAAGCAAGCGGCAGCGGAGGGCGGGGGCGGACCTGAGCGGAGCGGAGGTAGTGGAATTTGGGGGTCAGTTGTTAAAAAGACGAACACACAGCGAGGAGATGGACACTAGAGGGTGTTAAAAGCAAGCCGAAATGGCCTAGTATCCCTTTAAATACTCGAGGGCAAATGAAAGTCATGGTAGAGCTGCTGTTTTAGTAAAAGTTTTCGATTTCTGATCCTTTTTTTCTGACAGATTTTAAATAATCTCTTAGATGAAATGTTCTCTACTTTCTGGTGGTGATCATAGTTGACTGCAGCCAGCTGTGTCTTCATGCCAGCATTACATAAATAGTTTTTTTTTCAGTGTTTACACAAGTCATTAGATGAGGACCAAGCAGGGGTTCAGTCAGCAGTGATCCTTGAATATGAGATCATACTGTTCAGGGCTGCTGAAAGGTCATCATGAGATGTTTTAATGAATAACTTTGCATTAAAGCAGCATAATACAGTGTGTAATTCCTGAGCTGTGGAGAAAGCCTGATAGATTGTTACTGGGTGTGACTACAGAGTGAGTCGGTGCAACCTCAGCTGTTTGCATCAGACATGAAACTGCACCGCTGCAGTTTAGAGGAGGACCAGACGAGCCGGTTCGACTGCAGACTGGATGACACGGCGGTGTTTTAGCCTTCATGCGTCAGTTGGGACCAGATGTTAATGAAGACAAGCAGTGGTGACGGTTACACTGACCGGGCATTTTAGTGAAGTTACTGCTTTGTGTGTTCATACCACCTCCGCTCTGATGGAGAAGAAAATCATAATAAAAGCTGAAGTCTGATTACAGAATCCAGATGTTCCCAGCTGCAGAACCATAAATAATCAGCAATAATGATCATTTTTCTTGTGTTATAACCAGATTGATGAGCCGTTAGTGTGAATTAGAAAGGGTGACTCCGATCTTTCTACAAAAATGGAAATTAAACAAACACACTCTATTTGTTCGGTTAAATGTCATCATCCCGACTGCATGCAGACCTCTGACCTGAGCTGTTTGTGGATATTGAGGCTTTGTCAGGCAAATTGAAATGTCAGAGCTCATGAATTAATGTAGTAGTGCACTGCTGCTTGATCTAGAACATGAGTGTGATCATGAATCAGGAGGGTTTTATCACTGCTTTGACTCACACATAAATACAAATATAATGGGAGCTCTATATATTCCACTGGGAGGACTGAGAGCTGAGTCTTGTTGGTTTATACAATTTAGAGATTTGAATCGTGTAGGACTAGCTGAGGGATGCTGACACTCACCTGACTTCTTTCCCTTGCAGAAGCTATGAGAAAAGGAGAAATAAATTATCTTTAATGATGAGATAGACGTGAATCCTCAGGGGTTAGGTCGTAGTAGAAGCAGAAAAAAACATTTTCTGGGGAGTGAATGAATTAAACTTCAGCTGGAATCACAACACACCTTTTATGGTTCTTTCCTCTGATTGTGTTTTGTTGCCGTTTGTCCCCAGGTGCCATCCACCTGCAGTTCCACTCCAGTGGGAACCATTATGTGTGGAGAAAAGTCACCTCCACGGTGCACAACATCATTGTGGGCAAGCTGTGGATTGATCAGGTGCGTTTATGAGCTCCTCTCATCTGTAATCATTCCTCCATAACTCCAGAAGGTTCTGCCGAATGGCCAATCTAGAGTGCATCAAAGAAGTATGAGCAGCAGAGAGAACTGTGGATGAGGGATTTTGAAAAACCTATAACTCTGGAGCTCCTCTGTGTTTAGGGGGTTTGAATGCATCCTCTTTTCACTGTGAAATGTCCCGGAAATACCAGGAGAGGAGGTGAGGGGACAATGTCCCATCGACTTTGTACTCAACTGGAACTCTTCTGTTTATTTATTTTTCGTGGTTCTGCTTTTTTATACAATCCGAATCTGCCCCAGTTTGTCCATATGAATGGGGACCGACATAAAGAATAGTGTTTTAGATAATGAGTTATTTTACAAGCCTTGTAAGTTCCACTTTGTTCTGTGCTAAAACGTACGCTTCTGCTGCCTTCTGCTGTTAAATATCAGTCAAAAATTATTCCCAAATGAAATTACCATCTTTCATCCAACATTATTGCAATTATCATGCATCAAATCAAAAGGGATTATTTGTTAATCATTCAATTTGTGCTGCTTATCATGATCTGGATCGTGGGATAACCTCAGACCTCCCTAAACTTGTCCAAGTCTTCCAGGAGGATTCTGTTTCTAATCTAATAATAAAAAAAAGAAAGAAAATCTACCCCCTCGTCATGTTATATGGGGAGGTTGGACTCTTCTCACACGTCTTTATGAGATGCCCGAAACCTAACTACCTAAGAGGAGTTCCTAAAACCAGCTGGAAAAGTGTATTTACGTTTTATCAGAAGTATTTGTGCTGCTTTTAGTCACAAACCACAGCTTGGGACCATTTCTGATGTTAGAACGTGTAAAAGCATTGAGCTTGGTAGTCCAGACCTAAACTTGACTTGATGGTGCAAATTCAGAGAGTTTTTTATTTTTATTTTTATTTATTTTTATTTTTTTTGCTTCAGCCAAACTGCAACATGTAAACTGGATTTCACAAAACCACCGCCCACAAAAAATAGAAAGTGGGAACCTGAACCAAACCAGCAGCTGTTTGCTGCTTTTCCGAGAAAAGAATTATGAACTGGAGCTTTGGAGGAGGCGAACGCCCTCTAGGAACATGTCTGGTTTATTAGCAGAAATGCAAATCAGCAGCAAGCTGTTACAGCGCGGGAGCCAGAGGCTCTGTAGAAGCAACCATATGCCTCAAGCCAACCCGGAAAATACCGTCATCTGCTTTTTTTAACCTAATAATGCTCATGTTGTTTGGTCTGACAAACACTCACCTCTGTTACTCTATCAAATATGCCTGAGAAGGGAAGAACTGTAAGTCAGAAATCATTAATCCTCCAAATGAGGTGTTTAACAATGGGTCTTCTTAAGCTGGATATCCTTTACAGAGTGGCCTGCTGCTAACGCCTCCTATCTTCAAGTCCAAGTTCACTGAGAAACGTCTTCAATCCCTATTTCTTGCATTGGCTGTTAATAGACAATAGACCAGGAAAAGCCTCTGTGATCTACGTCCCATTTAAAACCAACATTCAGGGTCTCATCCATCTTGGCTCACAGCAGAGAAGGCTGTTGTTTGTTTAGCGTCCAGGAGAGAGCAGAGCACGTCTTGGCTATTAGAAGCTAACTGTTAGCATTAGCAACTCCACCACTCAGCAGAACTCCTCCAGGTTTGTGTTATTTGTGGAGATAAAACAACGTTGCAGAGCAAACAGAGTCAGTGATAAAGTCGTGTTGCTGTTATACAGATACGAGATATCCAAATATCAGGAAATAATGCTCCAGATCCTGCCGTCTTCAACTCACCTCTCCTCTGGCTACTTCCTGAAACAGGAGCGCCAGAGCTTTTCCCCCACAGAGATCGACTCATAATGCGTTCATTTACACTAGAGTCCACTAGCCTAGAGAACTAGACCAAATTCTTGCTTTGCAAAGTTTATTTAGTCTGGCTTGCCAGGCTACGAGTCCACTGCAGGTGCGCTGAAAAAATGAGTGAACTTGGGTCTTTAAGCGCCTCACACTCAGTCTTCTAATGATGTGAATATATGTGAAGCAAGAGAAAAATTTGATCTAGTTGTCACGGCGATCATGCTCACTATTTCCACTTTGTGGCTACATCATCTTATGAGTCAAAGATTAACATTAAGATTGATACTGTCTCAGTTTTAGGGAAATTTTATCACTGTTGATCATATCTTCTAGCGGATGTTTGACTTTACAGTTGGATTTTCCAGTTGGATGTGCTGTGTGTGTTTCTGTCTCTCATGAATATCCATGTGTGTGTGTGTGTGCAGTCAGGAGACATCGAGATCCTGAATCACAGGACAAAGGAGACCTGCCAGCTCAAGTTCTCACCGTACAGTTACTTCTCTAGAGATGTTCCACGAAAGGTAAAGGCTTCCTCTTTTCCAGTTTTTGGTGATTCTGCTGTGGGGCGATGCTGCCCCCTGCTGGTCAGCAAAAACAAATGTATTTGTAATTATTAAACTTTTATTTTAAAATAACTTCCTGTTTTGTTTTACCAGGTGACCGGTGTTGTGGCAGACAGTGGAGGGCAGGCACATTACATCCTCTCTGGTACTTGGGACGACAAAATAGAAAGTGCCAAGATCATTCAGAGCAGTCGAGGGGGCAGCGGATCCGAGGGGAAGCAGAAGACAGTCTATCAAACTCTGTCCCCCAAACTTTTGTGGAAGAAGTACCCTCTACCGTAAGATGGCTTGTGAAATACGAGTCATAGCTGCAGCTTCCATCAATATCATTGATTGTCAGACACCAAGCTAACTCAAGTCAATTTCCTCTTAAGGGAAAATGCTGAGAACATGTACTACTTCTCAGCTTTGGCTCTGACCCTGAATGAACCAGAAGATGGCGTGGCGCTCACGGACAGCCGCATGAGACCCGACCAGAAGCTGATGGAGGAGGGCCGGTGGGACGAGGCCAACTCAGAAAAACAGAGGCTAGAAGAGAAACAGAGAGCTGTGAGGAGAAGGAGGGAAGCAGAGGCAGCAGATGCACTGGATGAAGGTATGCAACGGAGAGCAAGGCTTTTAATGTTTAAAAGGGAAAAAGAGGCTGATAATAGAGAATGGTTCTATACCAAACAAGTTTATGAAGTTCTTTGCACAAAAGCGCTCTCACATAAAGTGATTTCAGCAGTTTTATTCTCGACAGTTTCAGTACCTTCCAGAATTAACCATTTCAGGGTTCTGTCAGTTTAAGAAAACAAGCTGACGTTTCTCAGCAGTCACAATGCAGATCTTTACTTTAAAAGGCTGAATGATGAGCTGAGTGTATTTAAACCCAGTCATTAGGAACTGTAAATCCTGGCGCCAGTACTGTGTTGTCCTGTGTGTAGGTCAGTTGTGTTCAGTGTACCGATGATTTGTCTTTTCTTTTCCTCCCTCTGTTGATGGTCAGAGTGTGAATATGACTCTGGTGAGTGAGGGCTCCCCTGTACCGCATCACACACACACACACACACACACACACACACACACACACACACACACACACACACACACACACACACACACACACACACACACACACACACACACACACACAATCCTCTGTGTGTCCTCTGTGTGCTCTGCCTCTGTTAGGAAGTGCATGAAGTCATCTTTGAATAAAACTTCAAACAGCACATGTTTTCATTCACATTTGAACTTTAAAGGTACAATATGTAAGAATTTTACAGTGAAATAATCACAAAACAGTCTAATGTCTCAGTCACTTTGGAAGGAAGATTAAACTGAAAAAGATTTCCTTCTCAGCCGGCTGGGGGGTTGTCAGATTTTTCTCCTTTCAAAATGGCCAAAGAGGGACGTAGTCTTTTTTTTTTTTTACAATCTGTGAGCCTGCAGTGTTGCAGAATCTGAGCTGGCTAATGCTGCAGTGTCCGCATTTGGTATTCAACACTGACTGGCAAATTGCAGCAGTGTTTTGTGAAGATCCTAAGCCAGTAACAGGAGCAACCCAGAATTATTTCTTGTACCCCTAAGACGCCATGGGATCCTTTTTTACCCTAATATCAGGTAAAGAAGGTCAGAGGCTAACGTTGAGCTAACAGTACTAATGATGAGTTAGAATCAAATAGTGGGCTTTGAAACTATCTGGTTACTTTTTTCAGTTATCAACAACTCAATATTACAGTGAATGTATTTATCTACTTATCAACTTACTGAGTTTGACTCATCTTTGCTTGTCATCTAGAATCTTCTGGTGCTGAACCGTAACTGGCAACAGCCATAAATCTCATGGAACGGGTGTGGGAAAGTCTCGTTTATTTTTAAAAAGGGATGCAGGCACCCAATTTAACCACAATATGTCATTCTTGCTTCATTCTTACATAATGCACCTTTAATAACTCGCTGTGCTATAAGTGAATCACACTTTTCACTTCATTTACTAGATACTCTTTATTTATTAGAGAAAAATATGTTTATCTTATTTCATTTTTAAGGGAAACACTTCATGAGCCACTGCACTGCGTGTAAATCATTATACTATCACGGTGCTCACAAGAGAAAACCATTGATGCATTTGCTGTTTTCTATGAAACACAGTAAACATGATCTTTGGAAAGTACTGATAACTTTGATCATTTTGATCATTTTTCTTTTGGTCTTTCTTTCTTTTTGCTTTTTTCAGTTCCATTTGCAGCTTGGTTTGCATTTGGAGCTTTCCCAAAATGCAGTGCACATAATCTGATTGCTTCTCATTTTTGACAGTTTCTTTGTGAATTTTCTGCAAGAATATCTTCTATGCCTGAAGTTGATTAAACAAATGTGATTAAACATGTTCTTTATCTCCAGGTAGAGAATATGAAGGCTACCAGCCGTTGTGGTTTCACCAGAGGAGAGACTCGCTTACTGGAGAGACAAACTTTGTGTACAAGGGAGGTTACTGGGAGACGAAGGAGAGACAGGACTGGAGCATGTGTCCTGACATCTACTAACGCAGGAGCTCTTCAGATAACACCAACCTCATCGGGCAGGGAACCACTGACTCTCTGGTCTGCAGGCAGTGGAACACAACTGGCCTACCAGCACCATTCGGACCTTGAAAAGAGAGAGAGGGAGCGAGAGAGAGAGAGAGAGAGAGAGAGAGAGAGAGTGTGTGTGTGTGTGTGTGTGTGTGTGTGTGTGTGTGTGTGTGTGCGTGTGTGTGTGTGTGTGTGTGCGTGTGTGTCACACAGTCTCAGATCACACAGTACCTCCAAATGCCATTTGGTTTTTACTCTGGTAAAAAGACAGGACGTTCCCTCGGCGATCTTTAAATAAACACACCTGAAGCTCTGGTGCTTGACATATATTACCCACAATGCACTTAGTCTATTCCATCACAGAGTTTATTAAAGTAGCTTCTAATCTAACCCAGTCATAAAGAACCACATAGAACAGCTCAATGCACATCTCAGTATCTGTGGTTACAAAACAAGCTATAGATTAAACTGAATTCACCCCATAAATTTAAAATCCTGGAACTGTTTTTGTTTCTAAAGTTCGTCTTTTGCTTTCATATGAAAGAAGCAACATTTTTAAATAAGTATGTTTTAAAATATTTATAAGAATTTATCACTGGAAACAAAAAAGTTTAAATAAATACAAACAGGAAGTATATTTAGATTTTAAAAAGGATTATTTTATTTTATTTATGTATTTTTTTTTCAGAAATTTGATGCCTTGTATAAAGTCATAACATTCAGACAAATAATATATATAGAAAAGTCTGCTGATTTAGAACAAGTGAAATTCGAGCTGGTTTGGAAGATAGTGAGTCTTTCTGATGTTTGATGTTGACGACAAATTTTGCACAATTCAAAATATTTGATGTCGAGCTAATTATATCTCCATTCTGAAATGATCAAGTTTGATCTGCAAATGATCTTTAAATATCCACTTAAACCTGGTTTATCTAAACACATAATGTGTCAGAAATGGATTTTATTTGAGGTGATTTTATTTCACGAGGACAAATATCCTCAGTAGCTCATAGAACATCTCATGATTTCTATTCTGAATGTAAGCTGCCTTCATTTGGTCATCCAAAGATGCTTCAGACATGTTGAGCTCGTGGTTCCGATTAGTAGAACGAGTTTATTTTTCCTGCTGCACATTAAAAACCTTTTATTACATCATAAATGGAGATTCACCTTTCGCCTTTGGGTCAGAACCCTAAAGTGAGGTTCTAATGTGAAAACAAAAAAACTCCCTCAAAAGTGATGAGTTTAAACCGTGTTGGACTGACAACTGGTTTAGAAATATGTGTGTATTACAGTGAGCTTCCCTTCTGATTGGAGGGAAGCTCATTTAATCTGAGGGGGCTCAGAAGTTCAACCAGGCCTGGAGGTCAGTAGGAACATCTGCGCTGATGTTGGAGTTTTCACCTCATTCACTAATGGATCTGCAGCCAGTTTCGGGCTGGTTTCTGTGGTGCGCTCTGTTCCACAGCCTCATCTGGATTTCTGTGTGCGAGACCGGACCAGGCTCCTCAGAGTTGGAGGTCAAAGGTCACAGCAGCAAGGCAAGGCGGGGCTGGTTCCTGTATCCTCTCACTGCAGTCAGCGGCAGTCTCATGACTCCAGACTCACCAGAGCTCATTCTCTTTGTGGACGTGCTGATCTGGGATCAGCTCACAAAAGTACACAGTCTTTTTGCCTTTAACTGACTGAACAAGGGAACAAGTCCCCTGACCTGTGCACTACAAGTCTACGGCAACAGGAGTTAAAAAAAAAACAAGTTAGTATTTTTTTTTTGTAATTATTGTTAGGAATGTAGAATTTATGACTGGAGGTGTTCTGCCGTCTGGTCGATTTGTTTGAATATTTTGTGATAAAACACTGATATTGTAAAGAATAGCTATACTAATCTGTGTGCGTGTACAGGTAAAACTGAATGAGCCTGAAGGATTTTTATTCCAGATTGATGCTGTAAAACTTGACATTTAACCCTGGAGCGCCTGTGATTTGGCCCAAAGCTGTTTTCAGATACATTTTGATGACTCGGAATATTAGAAATGTTTGTTATTTCTCCTTGATCTGGAAAACTGCACTGGAAAAAAAGAAATCCCTTCACAAATGAATTTTTGCTCAACAGAATGGAGACTGATGGTTTGAAAACATGAGCTGTTGAAAGATTTGTGTGTGAGGTTAAAGGCTATTGAACGGATGATTTCATGATAAAATGAATAATCAATTATTTTTCTTTGCACAAAAATGTTTGTTTTTTCCTTTAAATTTAAGCTTTTTTATGGTTGTTTGATTTGACTTATGATCACTTACTGAATATCTAAGATATTTTTATATTAGATTTTTATCTTAAGCAGCATAAAATGAATTAATGAACCCCTCTTGAAGAGATGGATTGTATTTCATAAAGTAGAATAAGTACAGAAGCTTAGCTTTGCACTTTTCATCCTAAACTGTCCTTTAAAGCAGGAATCTGGGATTTTTTTCTCAGATGGCTCCATCTAGAGGGAAAAAAATGTATTGCACCTCTGTGATTGACAGCCCTAATCCCTTCTTTCCAAAGTGTGGAGAAAAACAGCACAAAACAGTGTGTCCTCCATTATATTACACTTTTACAGATGTCTAAAAAATAAATCAACATAATCCCTGAAAGGGAGAAAACTCTGGATTGCTGCTTTGAGACATAAACACATCTGATGTATTTTTCAGAATAAATTTGATCACAATTAAGAAATAAATCTTGAGAAGAATTGATAGTCGCATGATTTATGCAGCAGCATCAGTTTCCTCCTTTTAAGTTGTCACTTTACATCATCGTGATCGTGGTGACAAAATAAAAGTTTTAATGAAACCAGAATGTTATTTCTCTTAAAGGGTTTACTAGAAATGAACTTGATTATTATGTTTAAGATAATTTTTTTATATTTAAACATATTCTATATTTTAAATGACTGATCAGGTAGTTTTTATCAGTTTGAGACCCCTCTAGTAAAAATGTCCCTCTGTGGGACCCGTAAGGTATCTGGCAGCTGTAGCAATGACCTGGTGTGTGTGCTGCTTCAGCGCAGGAGAGAGGAAACAAAACTACCAAAGTGTGAGAAGTTAGTGGAGACTTGAGAACAATGTTTTCATCCGCCTTCCCATCATATTGCTTTCCCCTTCGACAGCTTCTGGCATGACTCTACGCTTTTATTGTTGCTCTGTTCAGACCTTCTCATGTGTGCCATTTATTGCTTTCCTTGTCCAACTGGACCCAAGTTTCTCGGTGGATTGAGTCTGGTTTGAAAGCGGTGACATTTATTATCTGTATGATGATAGAAGCTGTGATACCTGACAGCAGCAATCTGGTACAGGACGGGTGAAGCGATGGATTGACCTGCCTCAACCCCCCCCCCCCCCCCCCCCCCCCCCCACACACACACACACACACACCTCCAGTAAACTCTGGTGTTTTCAGGTTTAATAACACATTTAAATAAAGTTGGGGGAGGGGATTCCACATTGTGTGATTCCCTACTTAATTTAAACTTAGGCACATTGTGTTTTAACAAGAAACACAATATTGAAAAAGTAGACGAATAAAGCTGCTATTGTCGACACTTAATATTTTCCTGCATTAATGGGTGGTTTTTTTTACATATTTGCACTGCAAAAAAGTATTTTCAAGAGAGTAAAAAAGTCTTGTTTTATTTTTTATTTAAAAAGACTCTAAATCTTGTCTGCAAAACCTGCAAAAAGTAGATATTCCTAAATATGATCAACTTTTGTTTTTAGTAAATACATCTAATGTTAGATTTATTTGCAAGTTTTAAAAATTCTAACCATTTCATACCCTATTGGCAGATTTTTTTTTTCACTCAAAAAAAAATTCTGTTTGATCACATTTCTTTATACCAGTGACGCCCCCAGAAAATTTTGATGAGGGTGGCCAGACGGGGCCAAAGAAAAATGAGAGCTGTCACGCCAAATTGGTCCTTATGGTTACTCTGGGAGAGTTAGCGTGCAGCGATGCGTTGCTCCTTTATTCATTTTTATTAAAAGATAATATGTATCCAAAACACTTAACTCGAAATAGAGAAACACAAACATGTTAGAAAATAAAATTTTCACGGCTCCGCGCGGCAAAATTGCATCATTTTAACAACCACGCCCCTCCACCGCGCCTCCGCACGGCCCAAACTTTCTGCACCGCGCACCTAGGAAATTTTCTAACCACGCGGACGGTCGGACGCGGAAAAACATGGCGGACTGGCAATAACTAGTATGGCAGAGGTTCGTCAATACAGACATTTGTATGATTCAGCTCTCAAAGATCACCATGATCAACATATTAATAATTCTTGGAGAGACGAGGACGCTGTTAAAAAAATGCTGGAATGCCATGTTGTAAACAACAGTAATTTCTACTTCTACTATGGTGTAGTGTTGGATGCATGCTGTAGAGCTCCATGCTGCCCCCTAGAGTTTGGGAGAATATTGGCTCACCGCAGAGACAAGCCACATGAACCATAAATGCTGCAAGTTGTGAAGCGCGTTCCAGCCGCGAGCCGCATCACCAAGCGGAAAGTGAATGCGTCAAGCATAAACCAAGCCTTAGAATGACCTGTATCAGAGCTCCTGGGATGGATGAAAGCCAAAAGAAAATGTCTCATGCTTCTCAGAGATTCAAAGCCGTGTTTCAGATTGCTGATGAACCGCATTCTTTGTCCCCTTTAATTCACCTGTTGCTGTCTTCACAAAAAAACTACGGAGCCCCTGGCCATGCACCCCAGTGCTGTTTGTGTAAGTAATGATTATTTTTTTCCCCTTTAGACTAAAAATAAGGCTTGTATCACGGTCTTGCATTTTTTGTTTTTGCAGTGCAGAAAGCCTTAACTGGAGTGATATGATCTTTAAGCTAAAACATTCTTAAAGTACAAGAATCATGATTGTTCAATGTCAGAAATCTAAATCTTGTTAAGAGGACTATCAGGAATAAATCATAATCTGACACCCCCCCCCCCCCCCACCACCACCACCACCACCACCACCCCTTTTAAAACAACAAACATTAATAATTCACGAGAGCTTGTAATAATGAAACCCGCCCTGCTTCAGAGAGATTATCGTAGATTTTAATGATGGAAAACAAGCATAACTTTTGCACAGCAGGTTTTTGATGACGTCTGTTCCCCAGAATCTGACCTCAATGAAACATGGGTGAGATTTGTAAAAGTGAAGAGTGATAAAAGTATTCCTTCTAGAGAAAATGCTCCTCATGGTTATTTTTGTTTGTTTCATCAGAAGGCAATGATCCAAAATGACATTACCAAGTAAGCTTCTGAAGGGAGAAAATGTGTAGTTTTGTGCAAATATGACAGATTAAGAAGAGATGCTGAACATGAAAAATACATTTATTCTGACGACAATTAGAATTTGATAATAAGCGTCACATACATTCTCTCTGAAAATGTTATAAGTTATGATTTATTATCCCAGCGACCCTACATGGACAAGTGGATATAGAAAATAGATGAATGCGTTTTTTATTTTATTTATTTATCTTCCACAAATAAAGGACTAGCATGCTTACACACGTGTTATAAAATTAAGTGAACTTAGTTCAACTACCTTTCATCACTCCTCTCATCTGGATAGTTTTCACACACACACCTTCATATAGGACGTTACCCAGGGTGCATTTCCTCTTGCAGTTCACTCATCTCCATGGCAACCCAACACTCAGATCCATCAGGTTTCCCAAGCTGACATCCTGCGCTGAGAGAGGAGGTAAGTTTTGTTTCTAGTCAGTCAGAAGGCAGCATAGCAGTTAGTTGAACAGTTTAATACATTTAAAAGTTTATTTTCGTGTAACTTGCCTGTTGCTGCTTTAACTTGATTTCTTTGCAGATTTAAGATGCAAACTTTGAAGACGCAACTCTTTAAACCAATTTAAAGTTTACCACTAAATAATTAAACGTCCTTGAGAAAAATGCTGCATTAGTTTGTTTAACCCTCTGGGGGCAGGCGTTGCAGATTTGCAACGTTAAAACCTACCCAGGGCCTCATTTATCAAGCTTGCTTACGCACAAAAACAAGGTCGGAAAACTGCGTAAGCAAATTTCCACGCAAACTTTGGGATTTATGAAAGAAAACTTAGCAGAAAAATGTGCGCAACTTTAAGTTGACTAAGGACCTGGCTTACGCACATGTTGGACATGGAGAGCACCTGCAGTGCTGCTGCTGAGAAGGATAAAATTATGAAATCCTGCAGCATTATCACTTGTACCGCTTCGTTTTCACACAGAACAAGACCCCCCACACGCACACACACGCGCGTACACATACATGTGCACACACATGCGCGCGCATGCACACACACACACACACAGCCTGAAGCGCAGAATACGGAATGCAGAATATCAGCAGGGGGACAGATTAAGACAGAATGTCATGCGTCTGTGACAGTCACTGTGACCCGATTGATCATGCGCCCTGGTTACTTGTACAGGGGAGATCTCCGTTTGGCTGACTGGTTAGCGCGCGTGACCTTCACCCAAGAGTCTGGGGATCAAATCCCGTTTGGATCATTTTTTTAATATCCGCCACAGATCTCTCCTAAGAATTCACAACATTGACGGCTTCAGCAACGCTGTGCCACTCTGTGGATTTTCTCTTATTTGTTTTGCAAAAGCACTTCCTTTCATTTCTCCACCTCACCCGCAGGTATCTCAATTTCTACTTCTGTGAAATTCCTTGATCTGCCTTGATCTACGGTCGCCATCGTCATTAACGAAGCACTGCAACAGCCGGCTTATGTATATGCATGAGATCCACAAGGCACTTTGCATTGAATATTTATGGCAGTAAGTGGGCGTGGTGAGGGCGGGATGTGACTAAGATGCAGCTGAGAAACATTCTTGTTAGTCTCCGATTTAGGAAGCGGAGATTGCATACAGCTGTGCGTACTCCATGGTTGATAGATCACAAACCTACTTGGCATAAGTACATTTTTTTGCTGAGCTTAAGTACAGTTTTAGTAAGGATTCTACACAATGTTTGATAAATGAGACCCCTGGTTACTCCACACACGTATTTCATGAGCATTTTTTAACTCGGAAGTACCGCTGAAGGACTTAGTTTGTCCTTTTATCAAAACTTTGAGCCTGAAAGGGTTAAAAGGACTTGATTCTACTGATGCATTCCTAATGTTTACTTTGCGGAGTGGGAGGTGGGCAATGCTTTGTCCCCTTGGAGAAAAGGTTATCCGACTCTTGTTTCCTGGACAACTGAGCAACAAAACGACCCGCTCAGCCCTGAACATACAGATCATCTACAGACGTGTCTCTAGATTGAGGACATGGCTGGGCGTGATGAAACATGGAGCGATGCAGAAGACACTGGCTGTGAGTTCCATCAGAACCCTTTTTGTGTTTTTGAAAGAGTTGTTTTTTTTTTTTACCTCTTTCCCTCCCTCCTAGCTCTGAGTGTGTTCAGATGGGACCACTGCGATCTCCTCCTGGATGCAGTGGATATTCAGCTTGACCAGCTGCAGGTCTCTGTTGTTCTTTTTTCTCCTCTATCAGCCTGTGAGACCGTTTTAAGCTCTATTTCTCTTTTGTAGATCCAACCTCCCACAGAAAACAATCACATCAAACCAGGTGATGAATCATCCTTACTGGTATCAAGTATGCATTACATAAAATACCAATATTAAAGGTTGATTTCCAAATGATGATGTGTGTTTGGGGGTATTTTTAAGCTACACTTAGATGGAGCAAAGACACAAGACTTGGAAGCACGACTCAAACAAATGACACCTCCATGTCTTGTCTTGAGTTAATCCACACGCCGATGATGAGGACAACACCTGGTGATGTTTCAATATCTGTATCCGCACAAGAAAATCGTTAGTTTTTAAACAAATTTCCTGTGAAATTATTATTTTCATTTGCTCATGAGGCCAATTTCTGGGAAGAAATTAGATAAGTGTTGTATTCATAATCTAACCAAGCTGAAATCTCTTAAATGCAACAGATTTTTAAGTATTTTCTTGCAGATAAAAGGTCAATACTTCCTTCTGTACCCCAGAAATCACAGCGGGCTCTTCTTTCTGTCACGATGAAATCAAAAAGAAGCTAAAAGGAAGCTCAAGTGTTGAAGAGGAAGTTGAATCAGAAGGGGATCTGGTCACCTGGCGGCTCCAGAGGCTTCTTGGAGACGTCTGTCAGGAAGGAACTGCTGGAGAAACACATTCTGCTTCAGACAGCATCTGCACAGAGGACTTTTTCTGGTGCTTCAGAGAGGAGATGGTGGATCTGTCTCTGTCAGAAATGGGACCTGATGGAAAGACAGAAATTTCTGAGAGCGACACTAATCTGAGTAGTCAGAACCGACAAGTCGCTCAGTGTGAAGTAAACGTGTCACAAGTCAGAGAAGGAGCACAGAGACATGGAAGCTGCAGTAAGTGTGAGTACAGCCGGAGAAGTTGAGAGCTGACAGGTGTGTGTTTGAGCGACGTGTGTGTTTGAGCGACGTGTGTGTTTGAGCGGCGTGTGTGTTTGAGCGACGTGTGTGTTTGAGCGGCGTGTGTGTTTGAGTGATGTGAGAGAGTCATTTCACTTTGTTCTCACATGGAAGATCACTAATCAGGAGAAGTCTGCTTTAAAGGACTGAACTAAATCCAACACATCTAATCCTATTCTACTCTAGATTAGAAAAGGTCACAATCAGTGGAAGTTTATAAAACATTAGACAAGATCTCATCAGAGAAAAATCAGAGAGCAAAGTGTTTTTCTGGCTTTGATTACATATTTAGAGTCATCTAAAAAGTAGCCTAACCCAAAAATGTTGATATTTATTCCATAATTTTTGTCAGTAAATATGAAAAAGGTCATTTCTAGTCAAAAATACAGGGAAAAGGACAATACTATGAATAAAAGTAAAGTAATTACGACAATTTTCAGATGTGCTCTTTGGCAGCAGTGATGATTAAAGTTTTTCCCTTTTCCTTCAGACAATTTAGTTTTCTCCAAATGTTTTGGTTCAATTATTATGTTCAAACCTTTATTTTTTTTAAATAAAGATTTAGCTTGTTGCTGTTTTTCCCGAGATACTTAAAATATTTTTTAAACTCATCTACCTTATTTTTTTATGACTTTTTTTGCTGGAGCTAATTAAACCATCTTACTTTCCATCTCAAACTTTCCAATAATCAGTATTAAAGGTCTTCTGTCCAGGATCTGCATGAGCTAGTTTTCATCCATCTGACACCACTTCCTGCAGTTTGTTTGAAGGAACCAAAGAATTTGAACACCGGTTAAGTCAGGATTTGGTGACACGGTTGTGAAAATCCTGCACTCGTGCACACATTTTAGCTCTTTCCCAGAGACCGACTTGTGATGCAATATTTTCATTTGTCCTCCTGAGCACTATAAGGTCCTAGATTAATGTAAATTATTCCAGAACTTCTGTTTGTTTGAGACTTTATGGTTTCCTTTCAGTCTCTTGCAGAACGGAGGTCATAACCGACCATGAAAATGTATCTTCTGACAGTGACGTTGATGCAGTTTGCACTGAGCAAGTAAAACAGCACGTCCACAAGTGGACAGGTACTAAAATGTGAATGAAACGTGCCAAAATAATTTGAAAAATTAAATTAAAACAAATCCCCCTCTGATCCAAGGACCCTTCATCACTGATCTGAATGACTTTGACACAACCACACAAGATGAGACTGAACGTCTGTCTGCATTAGGTAAAATAAAGCTTCATTCTTCATTTCAACACACATAATTAAATGTATCTCTTTATTTACAAAGTGAGAAGCTCCTCCAGTGGGCGTACAGATGAAGCTCAGAGTAACGGGACAAAAACCAGCAGGTAAAAGGAGCGTTTAGATTTCTTCATGATGTTTTTGCTTTTCCAAACTCTGCTAATAAGAACACGGATGAGAAAACTCACCACAGGAAGGAAGCATCCACACCTGGGAGGACATCAGAGAAGACGGACTGGAAGGAGATGAAGGTGTGACTTGAAAACCTTCAACAAGTGACATCTCTGAGTGTCTTTTAGAATATTTTGTAAAACACGCACTCTGGTCTTTTGATGTTTGGCTCAGAAATGTGAGAAAGAGGAGACTAAAGATAAAGTGGACTCATTTAAAAGACATTGAGCTCTGCCTCTCTGAGCTCCAGCAGAGAAAAATGGTTAATCAGCGACTTCATCACTGACTGATGGAAGTCTCTCTAATATTTGCAGTTTACGTCCCAGCGTGCCGTTCAGCACCTGAGTGCAGGAAGAGCACAGATAGAGGAGAAGAAGGCTTTGGAGTCTCTTCTGGGGGAAGGCAGGACAGAGAGAGAGTCCATCAGGTACCAAAAACACTGTTTCAGTTCATTAAATGAGTTTTTTTTAAATGCAGCAAAGTCAAACTGTGTGTGTTTTAGCAACCAGCTGCAGAAGCAAAGAGAGTCCTGTCTTCAGATTCAAAAAGCATCTCCACATAAACAGATTCTAGACGAGGAATGCAAGAACAAGGTATAAAACCCTTTTTCGGCTATAATCTGTTTTAGTGTGGTAAACACATACTTCATCTTTTTGTACGTCCACTGATCCAGAAACAGAATAAAGTTGTGACGTCAGAGATGGCGCCTCAGCTGGATTGTACCCAAACAGAACTATTTGTGGAGCAGCGACGTGCACGAGAGAAGACTGAATCCCTGCAGCAGGTGGATAAATAAATTGTACAAATAAAAAAAAATAGGTTTAATCACATGGCCATTAAATGATTGTGTAGGGAAGTTTATGTAAACCAAGGGTCACCACCCACAGGCCTTTTCTCCAAATTGCACAAGTTTAAAATAACATAAAAACAATCTGCACCAATGCGTTAACATAGATTTTAAAACTACTATTTTCTTTAAAAACATTCAAACCTCTTTATTAAATGTAAAGTTAGTTTAACTCTGATCTATTCTAGTTCAAAGGTCAGTATTGTATCGGCCTGGAAGTCCTTCCTGTGGATCATGAAGCAACTTTCAGCTTCACAAAGGTTGGACCCCTGATCTAAACAAGTAGTTTATTTTGTTCAAGTGAAACTTCCGTGAGATTAAAAAAAATGCAATCAAATATGGAACAAATACATTTCAGTTGGACATGTTAAATAAGGGTTGCTCCCTTTACAAATGCTAATATAACCCAGAAACAACAGTCCATTTCAGTATAATGTCAGATCATTCTAGAGTCGTGATGCCTTTTTAATCAGATTAGGAGTGTACTTATGTTTTTGTTCGTAAACAATGTTAAAAAATGGTTAGAAAAGGTTAGAAGACTATCTTATGTAAACAATGTCTGTGTTTTGTGTTTGAATAATGGATGATTTGGGGGTAGAGACTGGAGGAGACTTGTGAGGAGCTTCACGGAGCCTCAGAGGCAGAGAGCTCACTGGGAAATGGATGTCTGCGTACTCAGGTAGAAGGTGGTGTTTACATATGAAAAAAATACCTTTTTAAAAACTATTTTGTTTGCATCTTTCGCCAAAAAGTTGGAAAATTGTGCAAAATAGAAAAAGATATATAAATGTATTTTAAAATCAAATGAAACCCTAATATATGTTGTTCTTCCACTTCTAATCACTGTTTAGCACTTTTTAAAAATTCTATATTTTTCAATAAAACTGCTTCAAATAAAGCAACGCTCGTGTTGCTTGTTGTTAACGGTGGTAGAAACGGACAGAATGTGGATATTTGCAGAAAGAAAGAGAAAAGCTGAAGAGGGAGCTGCAGAATCTGAAACCCCCAAACCACACAGAGCTGAAGGGGGCCCAGGAACAAACTCTGGTGAGAACTGAACAGAACGGGAGTTTTATTGAAATCAGTACAAGAGACGCATCATCGGGGAAGCCTTTTAGAAAACTCAGATGATTTTTGTTGTGTGAGCCCAGCAGAGTGAGAAAACGGTGCTGCAGCAGGAAGTTCAGCTGGCTGTGAGGGAGAGCGACAGGCTCTGGGCGATGCTGGAGGATAAAACAAGCGCCCACAAGAGATTCAGAGCTGAGACGGAGCAGCAGCTCCGACTCTGGGCCCAGCAGCTGGCAGCAGAGCTCAAACATCTGCACCTGTTAGTAGAGCACAACAGAGACCTGCCTCAGAGGTACAGCTCAAATGCACATTAGACACACAGTAAATATTATTACTTAATACTGACGCCTTTCTACTGAGCAGCTTTACTGTTGCTGAAGCTGTTGCACACCTGAGAACAACACGTGAGCAGCTGCAGCACTTCGTTAGGCGACTTCATCAACAGCTGGATTCACAGAAACAAATGAATGAGCAGCTCAGAAAGGAGAAGGTACCAGTTAAGATGTGCATACATGCATAAGTTGTATATAATTACATCTAAACCCTTTTTTTTTACTCAGGAGCAAGAACTGAGGGTCCAAAGGCAACAGCTGAGAGCAGAGAAAGACCAAGCTCTGAACTCTATGAGGAGACAACTCATCCGGGTACGAAGCTCAAGTTTGGAGAAATCCCCAAACAGCCCCAGATCTCAACTAAACACCTTTTGATTTACAGGAGCATGTTGAGGAATTGAGCTGTCTGAAATGGGCTCATGTGAGTGAGACGGGAGGAGTGGCAGCTTGTCTCCGCAGGCAGCTGCAAGACAAAGATCTGGAGCTCAGGCAGGTCCAGAGAAGCATGGCTGAGTGGAGACGGCGAACCGCCGCTCGTCTGGCGTCACAGTTTGAACATCAGTTGACAGCTGAACTAGAAAGGTGACGTGATCATCACAGAGACGTTTATCTCACACGAATCCTGACAATGTATATGAGTTTGTTGAAATCTGCACAAATGTTTTCTTTCCCACAGGTGCAAGGTGGCGCTGATGAGGAGCAGGTAACTCATCTGTAAATAATAAATCACAAACTAAGCGGTTGTTCTTCATTGTAACAGCCTGATCTCATCACGCTACACATTAACCACACGTTTAACCCAAACTTTCTCCATACTGGCAATTATTCACTCACTAACACATTTAAATGTTTTCCAGAAGAGCATCAAAGACTCTAGAGGCGAGGCCCAGAGGAGGGACACACAGTTCAAAGGTAGATGCCGAGTAAGCATGACCACGTTCTTGTTTCAGTCAGCTAACATTTAACTTTTTACTTCAGGAAACTGTTTGCTCCCACCGGATCCACGCGGTGAACTCTGCAGCCGCTCACATCTCCACAGACGTGGTGTCATTAAAGCTTCTACGTCACCTGCAGGGCAAAGTGAAACAGCTACGGGTGGAGACCCAGGCCTTCTTGTGGAGCCCAAATCCACCAGACCCACCAGTGGCTCTATCTGTGAGTGAGTGAGTGCACGACTACAAAAGGATTTATGAACATTTAGAGGATTATTAAAGGTGTAAACTTTGAAAGAATCTGCAGAATCAGCATTCAAAGCCGTCTGAAAGTGATGGATTGTGTCATTTTAGTGCTGCTGTTAAGCGTTTCTGCTGATGTCTCCATCAGGGTGAAGACGTTGCTGAGATTAAGAGGCAAACCTCGTGAAATGGAAGATTAACAAGCAGGTCACAGTGACATGTGGCCACTGAGGTCACACTCACCTCAGCTGAGGAAGCGAGGTTTTATGGCCGACGAGAACACTGAACTGTGTGTGAGCGATAAACCTCAGAGGAAACGGAGGATGATGAAAGTTTCAGCTACATGAAGCTGGCGGGTTCTTCATGGAGTTTCTAACGTCACGTTTCCTAAAATCAAATAGATTTCATTCTAATGTTCTACTAAAATACTAATAATGAATTTTTGTTGTTGGATGAGCAGATGGTGTGAATTCCTTTCTGTTTTATGATAAATGTCTTTAATAACTTTAGTTCATTTAATTAAAAAGCAAATACTCTTGGTATTAACACTAAAGCAATGTCTGAAAAACAAAAATCAACATCTCTGCATGAACAATACGTTTTATTGAAAAAAGAAAATGTAATTACACTATGGCTCATTGCAGTTCTGGTTAAGAACATATAAAAATACAAGCAAATAATAATAATAATAGAAAAAATAATGTTTGAGTCTTTTACAAACTCCTCACCGGCAGCAGGAGGTATCAGCCGACTGAAAACAGGAATTCATGCTGTGAGGAGAGAGTTTTGATTCGTTTTGCTCACTGATGACCAGCGTAGATGTACGCCGTATTCTCATCCATCACGAGTGGCCCAGACGTTCACACGCACCAGTCTGGAGACTAACTGATGAATGAATGAACAGGATGAACAAAAACAGCTTCACACAAGGCCAACATTCCTGACCCAACAGGCCAGTCTGACCAGTCATCCACCCTTCTGGTAGAGCTCGTGAAATTAGAGCTCACCACTAGAGTTCCATTTCCTCCTCTGCAGCACTGAGAACAGGGAAACTGTACAGGGGGGAGCAGCTTGTGTCTGCAGGTGGGCTCGGGGGGCTGAGGGAGGGAGAAGGACATGGAGTAGGAGGTTGTCTGGACGCGATCTGTTGTTTTCGCTGTTTCTGTAACGAGTTCTTCAGCCTCTGACAGAAGGGATCTTCTGGAGGACGCCACAGCACCAACTCCATACCTGAATGAGTCCTGGAAGGTGATGGAGGGGAGACGAGTGAGGTAAAACCTGACATCAAGGGGGAAAGTGTTCTTCTAGAGCTGTTCTGTTAGTTAAACTCTGACGTTAATTTATCATTAAAATAAACATCTACACTAAATAATAATTAACTTTGGTTTTACTGAAACTTTAGACAACAACAAGGTTCTCTTTTTGGTTTTTCAGCTGCTGCAATGTGGGCTTGAACAAAAAAGAAATGTTCTTATGAAATGCTGAAGTGTTACGTAGTTGAACAAGGAGCACATACACTGACAGGGCCACGGTTTGGGGGAGGATGTCACTGATGCCACACTGCAGACCTTCCTTCAAACTGTCCGAGATCACCAGCACTGGTCGTCTTTGAGTGGGCTCTACATCAAGATCTTCATCATCATCATCTTCAAGTGTTATTCTGTAATACAATGCTCAGTTGAAGAGGTAAATGATTCAGGAATGTGTCAGAACCGTCGTATGTAGGGGTATCTTACAAACTCGCTGATTTGAAGTAAAAAAATATTTTAATACAGCAGTAAATATTCTAATGAACTCCCATTAAATTGTGAATTATTCTGTCTAGACTGATCCGTAAACTAGACTCCATACAAGGGTTTGAGAGATTTTGACGAGCAATTTCAAATCAATTCCCTAAATAATAAGTGCTAATCTAGATCTGGGGTATTCAATTCCGCTCCTGGAGGGCCGGTATCCAGCACGTTGTAGTGGTTTCTCTGCTCCAACACACTTTGTTCAGGGGTTGAATCACCTGTGCAGCAGCTCATCAGGCTCTGCACAAGCCTGTTAATCATCTGCTGAGTGAAATCAGGTGTGTTGAAGCAGGTTAAAACCAAAACGTCACTGACTGGATACCAGCTCTCCAGACCCGGAATTGAATACCCCTGATTTAGACTAACAAACGTAACAGATATATAATATCTCAATGTTAAGGTGAGAATGCTCTAATAGGGAGGAAATACTTGATTAATCACACTTATACCAACAAGACAAGGAATTCAACGTGTTAATTAATTTAGTTTAACCAATTCAGTAAATAATCGCCCAATATTGAACAAAATCCAGGGAACCATTTCAGTGATTAAGACATTTATATTTTGAATATTCAATAGTTTGTTTTTCTTACTATCAAGATGACTAAAGTTGCAAATTTGTGCATTTATAATAAAAGGTTGTAAATTGAAAAACTGACATTGTCCCCAAAAGTGTGGCATCTGTGTAAAACGGATTCATAGATACAACCTGACAGGTAACACTTTACAATATGGGTCCCTTTATTAATGTTAGTTAGGGCATTATTAAGCATTAATAAACAATGGATCCCTTTATTAACGTTACCTTTATTGTTTACTATGAAGTGTCCTTGTGGGATTAAGGGCCAGGGGGAGGGATGTGGTTAGAAATGTGTTACATAATATATACACTGCTTATACTTTAATAGTTTATTAAAGCTTAATAATGCACTAAGTAACGTTAATAAAGGGACCCTTATTTTAAAGTGTTAGTCAGCCTAACTAAAGCTAAACTGGTGGTTATTGAATAGAATCGTATTAATTTTGCCAGTAATATCAGGGATACTGGAGAGCCACTGCCCTGCATGCTGTTGCCGTTTCCCTGTCTTGACTCGCCTGATTCAATGACTGAATCACCTCTTCAGAATCCTGTTTACCTATTGATTCACACCAGGTGTGTCTATGCCAGGAAACATAGAAAACATGCAAGTAGTGGCCCTCAACGGTTAAATAGCCCTGGCCTATAAGATTTATAAGCTTTGCCTTAAATGGAAACTAAACTAACAACCCCTTCTCTCTCTAGCTTGTTTATCCTACAAACCTTAAGTTCCCAGGTGGCTTGTTGCAAACGTTTGAAGTTTGGAGTCCAGCAGTTTTGAGTGCTGATCCATACCTGTCTTCGATCTCCTGTAGTCTCCTCTGAGCTGATTCTATCTCCATGCAGGAGCTCTCCGTCTCCGTTCGAGGAGGTGAAGAGGAGGGCTGTGGTAAAGTGAAGTTCTGAGATGCTGAGCAGGGCTGTGGACTACAAAGGCCAACTTGCTGAGCAGACGATGCAGGACACATAGTCTCTGAAAAGTCCACCTCGGTCTCAGCCATTAACCTCCTTTTTTTGGCACTGCAACCCCTTAAAAAAGAGTTAACAT